TTGATGATCATGTTTTCATGGGGCAGGAAGAGAGGGGGGGGGGGGAAACTTGGGCACAGGACACTGCACCTGTTAGCATTTTAGTCCTCTATGTATTCCCACTGGAGATTTCCCCTCACTTCCTGTCCCAGGGAAATGTTCTCAAAGGGTCACAGTTTGATGGGGTTTAACTGTTCCACCTAAACAAATACAATTTTGGTTAGTGTTGCATTAAAGTGAGCCTGTCAATTTTTTTTTTTGTAAATGTTTTATTTTCAAAATATTTTACTACAGAGCAAGTCAATCCTAGGACAAAAGACAATTTCCAAAGAGTAATAAAAGGAGACGGGTAACTGAGAAAAGGACATAAAATAAGAACTTGTGCAAATCCCATGGACAAATGTAACTAGAGAACTTTTTATATATGTCCTATATAGTGAACCAATATAACAAGCCCCACCCCCCTCAGTCCCGACTGGGCTGACTAGTCCGATCGCCTCCACAGGGAGATGGACCAGAAAAAGGGTTTAGCAAGTCTACGCCAGTGTCCGCAGCTAGTGGACACAATCGCCTACTCGGAAAACCCCTCATCTACTGAGATCCTAGCAATGCATGATAGTCAGGAGAAGTAATAAAATTGGTCCAATAAAACCAGGAGTGATTGTGCCTCTCTGATTGGTGGAAGCCAAACAAAAGGTCCTCCTTCCGATAAATTGCATTAACCTTAGATAACCAAAGACCAGTGGGGAGGCCTCAGGTATTTTCCCCAGTACAAAGGCATATAAGCCTGGCAATTTGGGCTCGTGATAGGAACTGGAACAGTGATGGAAAGGTATTGGTAGCAGAGGAAGTGGCTAAAACCAGAATCTCATGCGGGGTGGATGACTTTTTTTTTTTAATAAAAAATCTCTGTGGTCGCGTCACATGAAGGGTTTATGTTGCTGGTCTTGTCCAGTGATTCATTTTCTATTGACTTTAGTCTTTAGTTGACCTTAGTCCTATACTGGAAGATATTTCATGTCACAGGTGCAGTGCAGATTACAGACACAAGCTGGAGATCGGATTGTCTAGTTATTTAATTAGCTGATCTCCGTGATACTTTGAAGATCGAGCAGCTTACAGCCATTTTCTTACTAATGTCATTCGGATGTAATTCTGGTTTAAGCAGCGATTACAGGGCTCGCCCTTGTTACTGCTCCATTCTCATAGCCAATATACTGTATGATGTATTTCCCAGAAACAGTTGTTTCTGGGAAAGCGGAAATAGATAACTCCAGTGACTTGGCTGACCCGGATTTTTTGCAGCCTTCCAAAAGATAGTTTTGTCTAAAACGATAACAAAAAGTTATTCCACTGACATTACGGATTTTCATTAACGTAAGGAACATCTCAAGTCAGGCCAAACTGCAACCACTTCCTGCTGCACATTATTACCCAGGCTGGGATTTCTGATGGTGTTGAGAGTAGAACATGTGTGTCAGAATGGTCACTTGCAACCTCCAAACCCATTCACACCAGATCCGTTGCAAACAGATGTGAATGGATGCCAACAGAAGGTAACCCAAAAAAATGAATGGCGCCAGTTCACACCGCTCCGTTCCATTGCATTGCGCTGGGAAAAAAAAGTAGAGCATGCTCTACTTTTTCAGTACAAAGTAACAATGTATCAAAAACAAGGAAATGGAACAGTAAATTAAAAAAAAATACATAGAAGTTTGTCCACTTATGACATATTCAATATAATAAAGGTTGGCGAAGAAGAAAGACCTTTAAAAAAAACAGAACCGTACCTTAATTGGAGAGTTGCCTGATATCATCTTAAATGAAAGCTGCAGATTTAAAATATTAATTTTTAAATAATATTAATTGGTTAAAGCTTATGTGATATTTTTGTGATTGGGTTTACATAAACTGTACCTTAAAATGTGAAAAAGACCCTGCCTGCTGGCTTGGGAATCTGATCTGGGCCTGGGGAAGGTGTTTGGAGCTGTCGCTGCTTAT